AAAAACACAGGAAAACTGACTAGTCTGAGACAAGGAGTGCAGTTAGAATTGATAAATGTACATTATATACAGTTAAGAAATTGTCAAAAAAAACCAGCACTCTGAATTAACCAACACATTATTAAATTTTAGCATAGTATAAGTAATAAAGGAAGACTGCTTTAATGACTTAGTCTTACAGATAAGAGTTTCCTATAAATTATAAAATATTGGATTCATTTAACAATAATTTGTTACTAAAATACCAATGTGTACAAGGAAAAAAGCAAAAAAAATCCCATAAACTGAAATCATAAAGAACAAATTTAAATAATTCTTAAAGTGAGCATTAATATTTATGATAATATATTTAAATAATCATTAAGATAATGAAAGGAAATTGAGAAAAGGAAAAAAATCCATGTTTTATGTAAGAAGCACAGAAAAGGTTAGTGTATGTGAGAAAAGTGTCCATGTTGGAAGCATCCTTAATTTGGTCCTTATTTGACTTCAGTGAATCATACGACTTCTAAGAGTTTGATACGTTTTTCAAATCAAAACGAACTGCACTGTCTATGCAAACTGGCAGTCATGTGATCAAAGGCTGGCCAATGAGGGATTTCCTTTTGTGCTTAAGTATTTGGCAGAAAGACTTCAAGATCAACATAGACTGCTCACTTGCGATAATATGACAGCCTACTGACATAATAAAAATATTGATTTTTGTAACAGTTGAAAATGAATAGCAGCATATTTGGAAGGCAACCATAGTTCTGTCACATCTGAGATATCCAGACAGCAAACTGTTTACTAATCTGGTGCATCTCCACATCAACTTCATATAATCACCTGGGAAGACACTCACGTGACTGACTGTGCATAATACATTAGGTGTAGATGTTAGTGATGTGACTTTACCCTTTTGTTTGTTTGTTAGGGGTGTGGTGATTTTGTGACAGGGTTGCTAGGTAGCCCTCACCAGCTTGAAACTCACTATATACACAAGATTGACTTCACACTTCCAGCAATCCTCCTGCCTCTGACTCAAGTATTGACTTCATGCTTGGAGATATCTACCTGTGATCATGAAATTGTTTCCTGTTCTTAGTCTCCAGCACAAACAGCTGAGAAATTTTGAAAAATCAACAACAAATGACAAACCACTATGTGTTACAACGATGTTTCCACTGAAGTGAAGCCACCAACTTGGTATTTTCAGGGTATTTGCACATGGCACTAAAAAACAGGCACAAAAAGATAGCTCTGATATTGACTAGTTTCCCCAGGTTTTGTGGTTTGCTGCTATACAGCAGAGATGGGAAGCATCACCTCACCTAATCAGAATGGCTATCCTCAGGCATCAGACAGCAGATGTTGCCAAGAATTAATATAAGGAAAGAGAAATTATCATTCGCTCTTGATGGGAGAAAAAATAATATAGCCATTATGGAAATCAGTTTTGGAGTTCTTTATATATGTATATATAGTTTTATATATACATATACAACTATACACACATGTAAATGTGTCTGGATGTATATACATATATATATATATATATAAAATTTGGTTCAATATTCTATTCCTGAACACATAGCTCAAGAATCCATGTCCTACCTCCTACCACAGGGAAACTTGCACACCCTGGTTTGTTGCTGCTTTATTCATAGTAGACAGGAAGTAACACAATGTTACATCATTCAGTTGTGAAGAAAAATGTAAAAATGAAAATTCCAGGAAAATAGATATCCCTGCAAAGTATAATATTATGTCAGGTCACATGCTTACTTACTCTTAGGTTACAAGTGAACCCAGAAAGAAAGAAACTGTGGGTAAAAATCTAAACATTTAGATCTGACACCTAAGGAGGATAAAGAACAGAATGTAGAGAAAGGGACATGAGTGATGAAACATGGTAGAAATGTGAATTTAACATTCTGTGTGCTGAAGCAGAAAGAAGCATTTTTGAATTTTAAAAGAAAATCATTCCAATATATATTCTCCCCTTGACTTAATTATTGTGACAGCTTGGCTTCCTTCAACCCCACTAACCATTGGTGCAATGTCTTGGCTTTCTTTAACCCCACTGAACACTGCAATGTCTTGGCTTTCGTTAACCGCACTGACCACTGGTGAAATGTCTTGGTTTCCCTTAACCCCACTGACCATTACTGCAATGCAAAGTAACTTGAATCATCACTTAATACATTTGTTACATTGACCAACTTGGAAAAAAAGGTCATTTACTAATTTTTTGAAGTTGTAATTTAAATAAATCATCTTTTACTCCCCATGAATCATCCAAAATAAATTTCCTGGGAGGAGGGATTTTATAACCTAAATATTTTTTCTATTTTTTGCTCAAAATTACAATTCCTTGTTCCATTATAATTTTACTATCTATTTGATATGCTATCTACAATGTATTTTCTAAAAATAAATAAAATACAAATACATACATTTGTATTCGGAGGTGTGCTTAAAATTGTCTATAATGAGGCTCAATGGAAAAAGAGAAAAGGGAATTGTAAGAGTGAGAGCGGCTGTAATTGTCACTGTTGTAGACATGCAGTGCCTTTTGTTACCAGGAATTTCTCTTTCACTGTCGTTGGGGAAACAACCCATTTAGACAGCTTAGTAGAACTGTAGCCAAGTTTCCCCTCTGCATGCTAGACAAGACTATAGTGAGGTAGATGGGCATGCTTCACTAGGAGGTTTTTAAATTTATTTTCTTTCAAAGAGCAACAAAGCCAGGCAGATATGGATGCTCTGAGCAGTCTCCATAGGACTATTCTTACTCTTTTGATTTTGATTTTTTAAACTGTCCCATCTGTTCTTGAAACCTCCACATTTTCCATTTTATCCTCAATTCAGTAAACAACTTCACAATTTTCCATGCTGTATCTTTTGCGAGCAAAACATATACAGAGGTGAGAAAATTATATAACTGATCAGACACGCACATAGATATGATAATACTGTAGGTTCACCTATTAAATTACAGAAAAATAAAAACTGCAGAAGATAGTCAATCTTCAAAGTATTATGAGAAATACACATCAAATGCTTTTATTGGAATTATATTTTAATTTTAACTTTTTATGGAAATTTAGAGGGAAATGGCATTAAGACTGAAAATATTATCAACCAAGACATTTTACCTGTTGGGACTTATTTTACAAAATTATTCAATATACTTTCAAAAATGCTCATAACTTCATAGAGACATTCTCTTAGAATGGATTTGGTAATGTTTGGTATGTTAAAAACCAGACATTCTAAATGTTCATCAATAATGGAACTGCTGACAATTTATGGATTGTTATTTATTCCTTAGAAAAACTGAAATATAAATACACAAATGAAAAATACCCTCCTTTTGTCTTTCAAGGAAGACCATGAGACTAACAATTTGTATAGGAAACAAATTTTATCTTCCAAGTTACATAATACATCAATTAATATAAATATGCATATATTTAAATGTAACAGATATATTATCTAATGGAAAGGGAAAGGAAGGGAATTTGCCATGGGGTTTAGGGTCTGTGAAGGGAAAATCTACAGAGACAGATGAACTAAACTCATGGAACTCAGGAATTCTAGATGAACAGCCATGGAGCCTCCACAGTACTTAAATAGGGACTCTGCATGTGGGACACAGCTTTGTAGCTTGGTCTATCTGAGGTGCCCCTGACAGCAGGACCAGTATGCATCCAGGAACATGGAAAGTCAGCATCCTTCCTCTCTGTATAGGGGAGAAGACACCAATGCACACAGAAGCCAAGCTATCCTGGTCCAGTTAGACTGAGGGGATAAAATTTAAATGTGTTTTCCTCCACCCTTCAGAATAAGCTACTTCTGTGAAGTACAAAGCATATTCAAGAGCAAAGAAAAGCATAATCTCAAGAGAGCCTCTGAGCCTTTTCGTGGCGTTAATGTCATTTGTCAAGACTTGCTGCCTGTGGCTAGTTGTGAACCTTTCCAGCGGGCAGAGTATGAAACTAGACAAGGTAGCCTTTGGAATCGATGTTAGGACAAGCCTGTCTCTGATGGCAAAGAAGCTCCATCAGACACTACTCAGTGTTTGGAAACTTGTCCCGGATGGCAAGCAGCAAAGCATGTAAAAAATAGACAATTACAGTTGTGGAAGACTATGATAATTGTGTTTTATTAACACTATTTTACATAGGGTATCATGCTACAAATTTTATTCAGTTGTTACGGGAACAATCAATTTGAGTACTTAGATCCTAGTTCTTGGGAAATAGTCTACAGTACTTATTTTAAACTGTATTCATTTTTGCTTTCTTTGGTATTTTACAGGGTACTCAATAGCTTATTCAGCTTCTCTCTGCTTTGTGTGGTCCAATGTTTACTGGCATGCTGATAGAGAGAAAAGAGGTCACCACAAGAGGATGACATTAATAACTTAATGAGGTCAAATTAATGATAATTTACTCCAGTCTATATTTATTTCATCAAAAGTCCATGTTTCAGGTTGAAAATGTAATTTTATTCCGCTATTAATAATAAACTATGTTATAAAAGAGTGATATTCATTAGATTCTGCAGATAATACACGAGAAAATTATATTATGACTTCTAATCTTTGTTAATTAGTTTCTTTTTTCAGTCTGCAACAAATCTATACTTAATATTAAACAAGTAAAAGACAGCTATTCTTCAAATAAGGCTTAGTAGACTTAATTCTTTCTCTCTTTGTGTGTGTATTTGTGAGCATGTGTCTCTGTATGAGTGTGTCTATGTCTGTGTGTGTGTGTTTGATATTGTTAGTAGTTCCTACACTATTTAGTACATCTACCAACCTGAAGTGCATTGCTAGTTACTTTGAAGAACATTATGTGTATTTGCTCTTCTTATGTACTTGCCATTATTTTTTTCACATACTGCTCCCTCTGCAGAAGTTAAATGTCTTTTCTGCACACATCACACTGGTTATTTAATTAGCAACTATTAAGTGGGTCAATGCTAATGAAGTTATCTTCATGCTTACTTACCCTGGCATTGGTCCATTTCCAGAGAGACTGTAAACCTGACGAGGATTTAGTAGATACTGGAATTTTCTGTAAATTCTATAAATGTGAAAATACGGAAGGCAGGCAATTTAGTAAAAACCAGTAATAATTTTTCAGAAACATTATATACCACATTTTCACAAATGTGCACATTTGTATTTAAAGATATTTGATAAATTCATCCTTTCTAATATCAGATGTATAATGCTTGAAGAACTAATGTCCCTCAAAAAAAGGATGCAGACATAAAGATAACACAACTTGGAAGTCAGAAATGATGCTCACACAACCATAATGCAGTAACTGCTAGGCCTCCATTGAATATTATTTCATTAATTAGAATTTAAATTAATATTAAAATATTTCATCATAAAATACTTAAATATATCCTCTTAATAAATGACTAGAAGTATATTCTTCTCCACAGATCTCAATATTGTTATGGACCTACCTAATAATGATAAGAATTATACCATATGCAAAGTAAGGATATGTACTTTATAATGTGTATTCCTGTGAGTAAATAACATAGCCTCATTGATATACATGAACATTTCAGATGACAAAAGTGCCAAATTGTTCCAGCAGGTAAATTTTAAACAGTTTACTTTCTGAAAGATACCAATCTATTACCTCATGTCCAAATCTGCAAAAACCAAACAAGCAAAAAATCTTTTTACCTTAATTTATTATAGTATCTTATTTATTATTATACAGTGTCACAAGAAATACATGGGAGTCATCCTCAGTTATTTCCCTTTCCCAGTCTATGAATGGAAAGTTTAGAACAGTCCTTTGCCTTCTAAGGGAGTGGTATCTCTTATCTCTGAATGTTCCTACCCACTAGAATCAATCAATCACATAGTAATATGAAAAGATCTTCATTCTGAGCCAATAGCCCATCTTTTAACATTCATCTTACACTGTATCCCTGGTGAGATGCTCCTGGTTTATGACATGCCCTTTCCTGAATCTACATTCTCCTTAATTCATCTGGCAAACATCTATTTATGTAACGCCCAATACAAGAGTACTTATTCTGAGATTTCTCAGTTTTCACGGATATTTCCTCCTCTGAACTTGCATAGCAACTGTATTTTAAACTTCCCTGTGTTAACATTCTTCGTGTGGTTTTTGGAAAATGTGTGTTGGCATGCCCCCTATCACTAAACCTTATGTCTTTTACCCTAGTAGTAAAAGGTGCTAAGTAGAGTTTAGATGTGCCCAGTAGGAACTGTCTGAAGAAATGATATGTGAAAATTTTCACGCCTGTTGGCTGTTACAGGAAACTTTGTCTGATATATCTCTCACAGGAAAATTATTTACATTCTGAGTAACGTTTGACACATCTTTTCACTTTATTTGCCAAATCTTTTATTCTTTGAGACTTTTACACATGTGCAAAGGGAAGCATGGTCGTCTTCACACCGCACCTGTTTCTGCTCATTGGCTTTGAGCCCTCTTAAGTATACACATGTCTTTGCTGTTTATGTGTTGAACTTGACCGTTAAACTTGAATGTAAGTTTTGAACAGAGGACCTTAGCTAAGGTTCTGCTCCTGACTGAAGGCCATTTCTGCTCTGACAGGTAAGGTTTTCCTCTTCACTGTGAGCACAGCCTTGAAGGAATGAACTCAGAGGTAAGGAAGAGTAGTACACCTCTAATCAGCTGGATCTGAGTACTCATGCCTTGGTGAGCTTCAGCCATGCAGCCTCCTCCTCTGGTCCTCGGACTCTTTTGTAGAACTGCCCGCTAAAGTATTGGACAGTACCCAAATTCAAATGGCTGTGGAATGACAGGGATCACAGCCTCAAGAGAATGATGCCCAACACCCAGCTAACAATAGCTACTCAGTTACGAGTAGGCCTCCAGAATACCTCTACCATATACTGGGATTTTGGCTGGCTTGATCATGTCATGTCTTCTTGAGATAAACATTGATATGGTGAGTTCGTAAATGAAAAGCTGTATCGGGTTCAGAAGACAGAATTTCCCAGAATGTTTCCCTTGCTCTAGCGGTCACCCCATTGGTTACTAGGACAACTCAGCTGATCTGGATTTTAACCAGGGTGTCCCTTTCTTCTCTGATCACTCCATACGCATACCTTCTTAGGCTGTGCCCACAGAGAAAGTGGAAAGCCTAGCCTGGCAGATAACTGGTCTTCAGTCAAGGGTAGAGTAGTCGCTAGACTTTCCTGTTTGTATCACAAAACAAGCTGCTCAAGGTCATCATCTAAACAACAAAGACATGTGTATAGACTAACAGCACTTGCAGCAGCATCACTGTCCTCACGAGAATCCTTATAACTTCAAAGTACTTCTACATGACTTACTTCTTTTATACTTCTTTATAAATTTAAATTAGAAACAAACTTATTTTATATATCAATCCCAGTTCCCTCTTCTCCCCATCCTCCCATGCATCCCACGGACCTCCATCCCATCTCTCTTCTGCTCCACAGAAAGGGTGAGACCATCCATGGGGGATCATCAAAGTCTGTCACATTATTTGGGGCTAGACCTAGCCCCCCCAAGTGTCTAGGCTGAGAGAGTGTCCTTCTATGTGAAATGGGCCCCAAGAGTCCATTCATACACTACATACTGTTCCACTACCAGAGGCCCCATAGACTGCCCAGGACTCCTAACTGACACCCATGTTCAGGGAGTCTGGTTCTATCCTATGCTGGTTTCTGAGGTGTCAGTCTGGGGTCCATGAGCTTCCCCTTTTCAGGTCAGCTGTCTCTGTGGGTTTCCCTGGCTTGGTCTTGACTCCTTTGCTCATCACTCCTCCCTCTCTAAAACTGGATTCCAGGAATTTGGCACAGTGCTTACCTGTGGTTCTCTGCTTCTATCAGCTACTGGATGAAGGCTCCAGCATGGCATATAGGTAGTAATCAGTCTCATTATAGCAGAAGGGCATTTAGGACATTCCCCTAGTGCTAGATTTCTCTTTAAACCTATAATTGTTTCCTCCATTGATATCTCTTTTATTACTCTCATCTATTAATCCTCTGACTCTGTCTTACTGGTCTCTCATGTTTTCCTCCCTCCTACTTTTCTTCTCTATCTCCTGACACTCTCTCGCCTACCCATGCTCCCAATTTGTTCAAGAGATCTTGTCCCTTAGCCCTTCTCAGGGGGACAATATATGTCTCTCTTAGAGTCCTTCTTGTTTCCTAGTTTCTTTGGAGGTATGGGTTGTAGGCTGGTAATCCTTTGCTCTATGCCTAATATCCATGTATGAGTTTGACTTTTTGTGACTCAGTCACCTCACCCGGGATGGGTTCTTCTAGTTCCATCCATTTGATTGTGATTTTCAAGATTCCATTTTCTTCTTCTGAGTAATGCTCCAATGTATAAATGTACCATTTACACAATGGCTCGCTTTTAAGAAAATATGTGTTGAACAGTTGGGAACATACTATTGAACGAAAGATAACTCTCAATGATGTTGCATATCTTAAACTAAACATAGATGAATTTAGTTTCCTTTAAAACATACTTTATATTTTTTTCGTTAGTGTTCAAAATAGAGTTAATTCTTATCTAATTCTTTGTGGGCAATTTAAATTTTCTCTTCCTGATATTCTTGATTTTTTTTATTTTCATTTCCTGTGTTTTGAGGAGTCTTGTCCAAATTCTGTTACTAATGTTAACATGTTGAGACATTTTTCTTTGGCAATTTCTTATTTTGAGGAATCTTCAAGCAGTTTTTAGTTAGCTTTTTATAACTTGTGAGGGTGAAAAAGGTAGTTTAGTAGTCTTCATCTGAATGCTGAGTTTTCCCACTGCTGATTATTGGAAAGGCTGTACTTTCTACAATGGACATCCTTGCACCTCTGTCCACATATGGCTCACTGTGCAGAGACTGACCTCTGAATTCTTTACTCTGTTCCACTGTGCTCAATGCCAGTTTGGTAATTACAGTTTTGTGGTAGATTTTGAATTCAGCTTGTATAATTCTTTTGGATTTTGTCCTTAGCAATTCTGTTGTAGTTAATTCTCTCTTCCTTTCTCTTTTCTTTTTCTTGCTGTGAGAGGATATAACTTTTAGAATGTTTTTTTTAGTTTATAAAGAATATCCTTAGTATTTTCATAGTGATTACATTGAGCCTATAGATTCATTAGGACAATATACATGTTATACCACATTGATTGTTCTGAATGATGAATGTGGGAAGAATTTCTGTTTATGTAGCCCAGAAATCTTTAATCAAGTTTTCACAAATTTCATTACAGAAATTTGACCTTCTGAATTTAAAATATTTTAGTAATTTGTTTTTTTTGTCCCTATGACAAATTGATTGCTGTTGAGAATGTTGGGGAGATAAGCTTAGAAAAAACTCACACCACTTCCACCCAAACCCAGGGCAGAGGACAGAGGTGAGCAAGCTCAACCTCTCTTGGATCCCCTGGCTTGGGGCCTGCAGCCAGGTCAAATCCCCCTGGAAGGATGACCAAGCGACCAGAAGCCTGTAGAGAGACCAGGGCCACTTAAACCCAAACCCAGGGCAGAGGGCAGAGAGCAGAGGCAAGAAGTATTGGATTTGCTTGCACCCACTGAAATGGAACCCTGGTCGCCTACCCAGCAGGAGAGGAAGAGACTCATTCTGCACCCACTGGAAGAAATGATGGAGAAAAGGCAATATAAGGACACACCAAGCAACAGAAAAATAAATATGACACCACCAGAGTCTGGAGATTCTACACCAGTAAGACCTGAACACCGCAATGCAGATGAAGCAGAAGGGAATGACCTTAAAAATACCTTCATGAAAATGATAGGGCCCTGAAAGAGGATGTGAGAAAATCCCTTAAAGAAATGGAAGAAAAAACAAACCAAAAATTCCAAAAAATCGAAGAAAGGGAGGAAAACATGAAGCAAAAATTACAAGAAACAATTCAAACAATGCAAGGAATGAAAGCTGACACGAAGACAATAAAGAAAACACAGTCTGAAGGAATGCTGGAAATCGAAAAACTAGGGAAACAGTCAGGTACTACAGACACAAGCATAACCAACAGAATACAAGAGATGGAAGAGAGAATCTCAGGTG